ACATCAAGTTGGAATTAAATTCAACCCTCGTGTGTTATAATTGTAAAGATCGTGTTTGCATCAAAGCGACGCTGCTTCATATAATAATGTTAGAACGTCAGAAGTCATGTAGTAAAAAGTGTAGAACGAGAATTTCCAGATTCTAATTTACAATAATTTATTTTATTATTAATATCTTTTAAAACGGAGTATAAATTACGGAGTATAAATTAATATAATTATTAATTATATTAATCGTGGAGTAGAGTATTGTTGATGATTTAGTGACGTCTTAATTCTCGAGAATTAATATCGTTGTCTGATAGAGGATATTCCTTATTATAGAAGGTATACTTATGTTCAAGAATTAAAAAATATTATTATTAGAATTAAAAAATATTATCCATCTATCAATATTAATCAAATATGATCAATAATATTATTCAACATTTGTTAATACTGATAATATTAATCGTGTAAGATCCTTACATAACAATGATAAAATTATATACACATTCTTAATTTATCTGTGACGAATACCTCTTATTAGTTAGTCAAAAAATGAATATATTTCCATCTGATCAGATCCAATCCTGAAATAATCGTAATTTTTAATCTCTCTCTCTCTCTCTCTCTCTCTCTCTCTCTCTCTCTCTCTCTCTCTCCCTCCCTCTTTTTCCCTCTCCCTTCCTCCTCTCTATCTCTCTCTTTCTGAATAATATTAAGCTGTAAAAAATAAAAACACATAGAATATGTGAATATTGCTCTTGATAAAGATGTATCAAACGTCATTGCCAGCGCTTAGCAAAAAAAAACTTATATTACTATTACAATTATTATTATATATTGATACTTTTTTAGAGAATTACATATTAAACAAACGACATGAAAAGCCTTTCTATTTAAAATAAATTATAGAAATGACATATTGTTGGCATTTTATCAATTTTTTATTTTAATATTAAATTAGTTTTAATGTTATAGCTTGTGAATATTTTCACTTTGCAGTTTGTTTTCCTATCGATCCTCACGATAATTTGTTGCTTTTTTGAGATGTACTTCTAACATTCACGAATATATTTTGTCTGATAAGCAAAAAATACGAAACAGAACCTGTTTTGACAAGCACGACTTGCGATTGCAGCCGTCTTGATGACTGTTAATATCAATGTGTTACGCAAAATGTTATTAATCAACAAAGAAAGAATTTGCGCAAAGATCAGAAATAAAATGAAGTGCTTATCAAATAAAATGCGTGATCATTAAAATTTTATTTCTCGTAAATTAAGATATATTATGAATTTTATATTTGTATATTAAATTCTAGAAAAAGAATAATAATTTCAATTATTCTATAAAATATTTTCATCGATTAATAATTGATTATATCGGTTATATGTTTATTATTACATTATTTATGATTAATATTTGCAAATTGTGATTATACCGTCAATGTCTTTTTCAGGTCTAAGCGCCTGTGAGAGGAAATCTTTCATATTCTTGAGGAAGGAATTGCCGGTTCGTCTCGCCAACATCATGAAGGAGATCCATTTGTTGCCAGAAAACTTACTAAAGATGCCTAGTGTTGGTATTGTAAATAATTTATATATCACATCTTTTGAAGAAATAATACACTTTGAAAAAGTCGATGTCAACGATGCCACTTTAGATAAGTGAGTAATGTGGATCAAAAATTTGTTGGGACAGATTACAAAATGCTACGAATTACTAAACAGAAATCTTGGATTTCTTACAGATTTTGCCAAGCTCTAATAAAAATACGGAATAGGCATACCGACGTTGTTCAAACAATGGCACAGGGCGTTTTGGAACTGAAGGAATCCCACGATGTGGACATTCAGACTGAAAACAGCATTCAGTATTTCTTGGACAGATTTTTCATGTCCCGCATTTCCATTCGTATGCTGATCAATCAACATAGTAAGTTCATCGAACATTTCTTGAGTATAAATTTTAGTATAAGTCGCATATTTTACCGCGCTTTATTGATGCTTTTTTTATTATATTTCAGCGCTCCTTTTTGGTGGGCAGTTGAACGGGCACAGTAGACACGTGGGATGTATAGATCCATCCTGTGACGTGATCGGCGTCATTAGAGACGCTTATGAGAACGCACGATTTTTGTGCGATCAATATTATCTGGCTAGTCCGGAATTGAGAGTCAAACAGCATAACGGCAAGTTTGAACAAAGTTGATTATATTAGTGTTAGTAAGTAATTTGAGACAAATAATTTTCTATAGAGATAGATTACAGTTCCACAATTTCTATCTTCTACTTTATCTTCATACATGTTGTATGAATAAAGAATTATGATTATGTATGTATGATTATGTTACATTTTACTATTCGATAATTAATAAAGGATTATTAGTAAAGGGTTGTAAAAGATAATAACGATCCGATATAGGTCCGGTTTTATCAATATAGGATTAACTTCAATCTCGATTTAATTTACTTTTTATCTTTTTTTAATTCTGAGAATGAGAAAAAGCTGAACAATAAGTTAAACTGAGATTAATCTAATATTGGTGGAATCGGCTCTAAGTTGGTCATAATTGTTACATGATCCGTTTTTCAGAACTTGAACGCAGTAGTGAGATTAGGATTATTTATGTACCAAGTCATTTGTATCATATGTTATTCGAACTCTTCAAGAATAGTATGAGAGCTGTGATGGAACATCATGGATGCGACTCGGACAATTATCCGCCACTTGAGGTTTTACTAGTGCGCGGAAAAGAGGATATTTGCGTGAAGGTAGAACGAACCGTTTCATTAATATGGCTTAATTCCTAGACAATGCGTAATTAGTTCGCAGTGAATAATTAATTCCTCGTTCACAAATGGACCATTTATTTAAGTACATGTACAGCACTGCTCCACAACCGAGCAAATCAGATGCTCATACGGTACCGCTTGCAGGATACGGTTATGGTCTGCCTTTATCCCGATTGTATGCCAGGTATCTGCATGGCGACATCGTATTGCTCAGTTGTGAGGGCTACGGAACAGACGCTATTATTTATCTAAAGGTAATATTTAAACTTGTCAAAAATCTCCAAGGTTACATCTAATGAGAAACACTACATGTCCTATATATTATGTATAATTTCGTTTTGGTTGCATTTTATATCATAACTGAAAGCTTACATCTTCAGGCTTTATCCACCGAGGCAAATGAGCTATTGCCGATATTTAACAAGACCTCGTCGAAGTTTTATCGTACACCGGTACCCATTGCGGATTGGAGCAGTCAATGTGGTGGTGGGATGGCAACGAGGCAACTTAGTATGAGTCACGCTCAAGGCCATAGACTGCCTCATGGGATGGAAATCACTCATTTATAGCAAAACGCGATCGATGCGGATCAGAAAACGATTGAGTGAGTAATTTATAATAGTACGATGTACACTCGCAAGTTCTTCTTTTCCTAAAGCACTGAACTTACTTCTTTCTTTTTCAGAAAGTTCAGACAAATATTCTATCCGCGTATAACAAAGGATATTTTAATAGGAAAGCTAGATCTGTATTCGAAGCCAGAACAACTATTGAAGGAATATTCTCTACAAATATGAGAAATAACTGGTTATTAGACGAATAAAACACTAAACATATTGGCCAAAGATAATATTGATAATCTCTTTCTTGTGCCGTAATTGTATTACATATCAAATCAATTATACAGATTTGATAATTGAAACTTTTGTTTTTCACCAACTCGTTTTTTTGTGGTACAAGCGTAGATCATCAGATTATCTACTATGTGTTCTAGCGAAAAAAATTGTGACACGGTTTACAATTGATATAAAAGGAAAAAAAAAGTGAATTTGATAAATTTTAAACAAGTTATAATTCATTTTATAATGAATTGTTGCATCCAAACAATTGGATTGCGATTATTTGTAATAATAGGCTTTGTATGGCGGAATGTATTCGATCATCTCATAGTTAATTATACTACAGACAATATCAGCATTTCAATTTGAGATAGCATTTTTTGTTACATTATAGCTCCGAATGTCGAACGATGTATCCTGGATCACGTTCTGAAATCTATTAAAAAATATAATTCTTCTGTATCTATACAGATACAATAATATATGCTAATAATATATATTTTAATAATATGATAACATATTTATTAATGATATATACATTATAATAATAGATTTTTTTCTAAAGAATTTTTAATACTGAACGTTTTTATTATATTCCTTTTTTTCGTATGTTTTTTTCCTTATTTTATCGAATAATTTTCTAAAGAAAAGAATTATTTATATTAAATATATTTTTTAGATTTTAGAAGGTTGTCTAGAAGACTAATGCAGGTTACTTCCAATCGACTGTATGAGACTCGTAACAAATTGCAGACTGTGATGTAACATGAAATTTTGATTTAGCTGCTAGACAATTACATCTGTTAGTGTAAGCATGCACAAGATGTGCATGTATAGCAGATAAATTATAATTTTACGGCTATATGCCTGGTATTCCGTACAATTACAGAGAAAACTGAGCGAAGAGAAAATACTCTTTCGCGAGAATAATATTTTGTATCGGAAAAATTTATGGTCAGCTAACCAATCAGCTACTTTTTAATTATATTTTCTATAAGCAAATTAAACTTATACGGATCAAAATTATTTCTTCGCGAAAATTTTGGTACGGATCTAACGCATTCTAAGGTATCTGTGTCATTGAGGTATCTGCAACTTTAATTATATTTTGATAATAATATTTTTTTTTGTATAAATAATACATTATGATAGAAAAAGGTAATCAATGTCAATAATTAGTATTTAATTAATTAAGTAGTAATTAATTAATTAATTTGTCTTAGTTATGTAAAAAATTAAATTTATATCTAATAATTAAAAACGATGTCTCTTAAATTTATGAAAAATGATTATAATTATTTGAAAAATATATTTAATATTAAAATATATAATATATAATATTGTATTATAAATCATGTATTTTTTTACGTAATATGTAAAAGTATTTTAAGATTTATCGATTTTCTAATTACTCGAAAAGTAAAAAATTTACTTGATCACACAGATATCTCACAGAGTGATTTTGTAATTATTTTGTAAATTTATATATAATATTATACGATATAATGTGTTGGGAGAAGAATGTTGCAAGCGCGGAATGATGAGTCACTTGTGAATGCTGTGTACGTTTTCTACGATGCTACAGTTTTTTTAAACGTAATTTCGAAGACATAGATTAAGATAATATGCTGTATCATGAGTGTGATAATTCTTGTAACATTTTTCAAAAAATGTTGACAGAGAATTCCTCTTTCTGAGTGATTCTAGAAATGATTTAAATAAAGAATGTTATGTACATATGCTATGTTGAATACAATGGATAAGTATGTGAATTTGTTAGTTACGACGAATTTATTCTATATTCGTGCATTCGACACGAATAGGATGTTGTAAAACATTGTTAATAAACAATCTCGGAACAAATGTGAGACGTACAGATTATTTCGCATCGTGAGAAACTAGGTCAAGCTGTCCGACCCTTGATTACGAGTTTCTGCTAATTCTTAAGTACGCATAGCATCTGTAGTGCGTCTGATAAGGGCCCGCATATTATCAAGGCAAACAATGAATCTAGGACGTCATGTATACGATGGTTGCTTCCCAAATAACTCACATTTCATGTATGTAAATTAAATACCCATATCCCGTTACACACTCCTCTCGTGCTATAATACTGGAAAAACACAGCGCCTATAAAAAGTCAAGTGGCTGAGTCGGAGAACACATTCCGTGTGTTATTCTACAACGAAGTTGAGGCGGCACCCTTTGAACTACCATCGCAGAAACAGGTAAAAAGATAAACTGATATTTTTCATAAATCTGTTGTAGAAATTCGTTTTCTGAATTAATTGTCTCCAGCGTTTTTCTTTTGTTTATCTATGATTTTTCGCAAGCAAGTGATCGATGTGACTGTGTGATTTGCATGTGTAAAACGATAATCATACATGGATAATGTTTATAAAGAAACTCAGGGAACAAAAAAAATCATAAAGATTCAAAAGAAGATTCGACATTCATGATTTTGTAATCAGTACACTGTTCATATTAAACAAAATATGCAACAATCTTGCAACTATCCGATATCTGGATAAGAAGGAATTATCTTAATCTAATTGATATAATTAGGTGACAAGACTGTCTTATCGAGATTTAATTACTCAAAGATTAACTATAATTGAGAGTTCGTGATTAAAAATAAAATTACAATAACTGATCGATAAAGAAGAACTTTATGATAAGACAATGGAAAATCGACGATACATATTCGATAAGAATAAATGTATATACAATAATGTATAAAAAATTTAAAAGACATACGAAGTATAGCTAATGATTAACTGAAACAATAAAATGAAAATTATTTGAATCAAATGAAATTAAAGAACTATATACCTAAATATAAATTTAATCAATTTCTTTCGATTTAATTATCGATAGAAAACATATCATACGTAAAAGAAGTAAAGTTGTTTTAGACAGAGTAAAATTGTTTGACAGGAAATAAAATCACGTTACTTTATACGGAAATAAAAATTTAATAGCTATTCGACGATATATCAATTTCACTTCTGTCTCATATATTGCAAATACTTAAAATTGTGCACAAATCAGATTAACGTTGAAGAACTTCACTTTTGTTTAAATCCATATAAAATTTGATTTCCATATACTTGCCAAAAAATACATAACATCATATCATTCTTTTTAAATCGACGTTATTCTCCTTGGAATTAAATATCGCAATATATTATACTTGCAATACATTTTAAATACAAATAAGTTAACTTTTTCATATTAATCTCACAAACCATATGAATATATACATAAATATTATTACAACGATATGAATATATACATATATATTATTCCACCTAACTATACTTGATTGCAAAATCAGAATCTATGTCTTCATATATAGTCTCAAATGTACAACAAAGAATATATTTTGAAGCCAAATTGAAGACAACATCAAATTGACAATAGCAATGCGACGACATATTGATGCTAAATGCAGATCAGATCTGTCTCTGATAGAAACAAAAAACGCGTGTTCTTGATACTGTTCGATTCTTGCGTAATACTAATATTTTTTCAAAAACAAATTTGCTTAAAATTTGCCACTCTGTTTTCATATGATCAACATATCTATTTATTATTTACTTCTAAGCTGTCATACATTTTGTCTAACGGAGATTATTGCACATTTACAGTTAATCTTGTAGAAAATATCTTCTGGGAGATTTTTATTATAAGATTATATTATATATTATATTTTTATAATATATTTAGAATACAGCATTTATTTATTATTATATAATTTTATTAAAATGTTTTATTATATGTAAACACATAAAAAGTCAATTTTTTTTTAATTATAAAGCACTTGTGAATATATATATATATATATATATATATATATATGTCCAATTTAAACTTTGATAAGCTATTGAATGACTAATTGTGTCAATTTGATTCCTATTGAGTGAGCCACGCGGCTTAATGTGATAAAGTCAATTCTTTTCAATGTAATCTTATAGACAGAAAAAATCCGACATGATCTTAACTTGATCGATTGGAGCTAAAAATGTTCTGAATTATATGTACTGATTGTTATTGGTGCCGTGTGCATTCAGTGTTTAAATATGAACGAAACAGTAACTCACAATCACAAGTGTTCCTGTCTCCAAAAGGTAAGCTAATCAGTGAGAGACGATTCTTACGTAAAAAGAAAAACTTAGTAATATCAGCTAAAATTAGTTGCTTAAAATTTTGCTGTATTATTAAAAGTTGTCTATTGAAAATAAAATACATTTGCTGTCGACGTTCAACTTTATTAGTTAAAATTAAAAGCATACTTAACGTGAAAATAGTTAAATAAGTGGCAGCTATTCCTCACTATCTAGCCACGTAACCGAACATTCCATTCGCAATTGTTTTTCGAACGTTGTCGGTTTTACTCTAGTAGAGAATATTTTTCGCTGCAGCACCTAAATTATATTTATAGCAGTTAATAAATTGAGCTTTGGCAACAACGACATTAGCTGTTCCTTTTATAAGGACATATTTTAACTAATACAATTATATTTTAATTGCGTTGAGACTAATCTTTTCTCAGCGTGTATATATAAAACCGAACATCCAATCTATGACAATGCTCATCAACTTTACATTTTTCTTCAAAAAAATTATATGTGCTAACTATAATTATAACAAAAAAGAATATTTGCGATAATTACGTCGATTGATGATTAACAAAACTTGGTTTCACACATTAAAATTATGTGAAAAATTCGATTTTGTACAGAGAATCATTATGTGGAAGATAATAGTGTTGTGCGCGATCGTGAGCCTGGCAGCTGGCCAGAAGGCTCTTTACAACAACTACAAAGTCTTCAGAATGATCCCGACCACAAAGACGCAACTCGAAATTCTGCATGAAATGGAAAATGTTAATGATGGAGCTGTGAGTAAATTTCTTTTGAATTACAGATACGTTTTGCAAATATGAGTAATCAAGAATGTCTGCAGCGAGCTTCATTCTAGTTTAAGATATACACATACAAGTAACATTAATATCGCATATAATGCTTGCTTTACTTCTCAAAATTACGAAATTAATTTCGAATTTATATTAAAATATGATTAAGTTTTAAAATCTTAGAAAATTTTGAGAATTCTAAAAATCTTATACAACTGTAAAGTTACTTAATTAGAAAATGATTTAAAAACTCAACAATAAAAAAAATAGGCAAATAATTTACTTTAACTTCAAAATTGAACTTGGTAATTGAATTTCAACTCTTATAAGTGAGATTAAATGTTTCTTACAGTTCTCCTTCTGGGATTCTCCAAGTATCGTAAACAAACACGTAGACTTAATGGTCGCCCCGCACAAGTTGCCTGAATTCTACGAGAAGATGTCAGAGAGCGATATACCCTATCAGATGCACATCGACGATGTCCAGAAGTTGATTGATGAAACAACTCCTAAGACTCAGACTCGGTCAAAATCGTTTGATTTCACCAGTTATCACACCCTCAACGACATTTACAAGAAACTGGATGACCTAGCCAAGCAGTATCCCGACAAAGTGCAGACTGTCGTGGCTGGCAAATCGTACGAAGGGCGCGAGATCAAAGGTGTCAAGGTTTCCTTTAAAGCTGACAATCCCGGAATTTTCATCGAGAGCGGCATTCACGCCAGGGAATGGATCTCACCGGCAATCAACATGTACATCTTGCATCAATTGATGACCAGTAACAATACAGATGTCAGAGAGCTAGCTGACAGTCACGATTGGTACATCTTTCCCTCGTTCAATCCCGATGGATATGTGTACACACATACTACGGTAAAAGCTCCGTTTTGTAACGTTACACAAAGCGTGATTAATTTATTTCAATAAATTTTATCTGCATATATTTTTTTGGATTTCCAGGATCGACTTTGGAGAAAGACGCGTAAGCCATACAGTTTCTTCTGCAAGGGCAGCGATCCCAACAGAAACTGGGGCTACAAATGGAACAGTAAGTATCCAGATCTTTAGCGAACAATAAGTTCTCTCTCTTTCTCTCTTTCTCACAGTCAAGAATAAAATGTTATCAAACATTCAGATTGCAGGTGTTTGATAACATGTTATGAAATGTCCAGATTGTTTCGAAGATTTTGAAAAATTCTGAAAATATTTGTTAACATTATTATAATTTAATATTTTCAGCTGGAGGTTCCAGCAGAAACCCATGTGCTGAAACTTATGCCGGCAGTGCACCCTTCTCCTGCATAGAAACAAAGAGCCTATCCGAATATCTCAAGTCTCTCTCTGTTTCTAAAAAAATTGGCGCTTATATATCATTCCACAGCTATTCGCAATTATTGTTGTGGCCATACGGTCACACAAGGGATCATCTTGATAACTACGACGATTTGGTAAAAAAAAACTTTAACATTTTAAAGTAATATAGAAAATCTTTCACAAAAAATATTTCATAAATTAACAGAACTTTTTTTTTCTTCATAATTATTTTTTTCTTTATAATTATTATTTTTTTTCATATCATCACTTTATTATCTGATGAATTGTGCGTCGCTCTTCTTTTTCAAATTAGAAAAATTTGGCAATCGTCAAATTTAGCATTATAGTGTCATTAATATCGGTTTGCAATAATAATAATTTACATAATCTTTATATTTTCAGTACGCCATCGGCAAAAAATCGATTACAGCTCTCAAACAGAGATACGGAACTTCGTATAAAATCGGAAATATTGCTGAGGCAATCTGTAAGTGCAAAAAAAGCTTTTAATTTAATTTGCTTTTCAATATACTTTAAAATATACTTGAACATTTTGTAATTATCTGAAATGATTTACCAGAGTTAAAAGTCTCTTTTTATTTTTATTATATACTTTAAATTCTAGAGCGTAATCTGTTAATTGAATATAATTATTCGCATTCCGAGATTAAAGTAATCGTATTTATAAAAAAAAATATAATTTTTTTTTCAAATTGATGTTCTTATTAAATTATTTTTTCAGACATAGCTACTGGAAGTAGTATGGATTATGTCAAAGGCACTTTTGGTATACCTATCACCTACACCTACGAGTTGCGTGATACAGGTCGTTACGGCTTTTTGTTGCCTCCTGAACAAATTATCCCGACTGGAGAAGAGACTATAGACTCACTCGTAGCAATGTTTAAAGAGGCAAAGGCGCGTGGATATTAATAAAATATTTAAAATTAACGTAATTAATTTATTGTAAATACTTTATTATTTCGATGTATGATAATTTGATTTTATTTGACAAAGTACGAATCCCGCTTTCCCATTCTACTTTGTAATCTAACAGCAACAATAAATTTTAGTAATATATAATTAGCATTATTATTCGACCAATTTGAGTGAATCCATTCAATTAATTATTTAATTAATTATAGAATAATACCGCGATAATAGCCACTAGATTTTCACGCGATTCTCTTTTATTGAATGCAAACGAATAATTAGAATAATAATTATATAAATTATAATAAAAAAATTAACACGCGATTGTTAATTTTTTTGGATACTTTTATTTTAAAAAATCTTACACATGAGATTTACATCATGAATCCAATATCTTTTATTCAAAGAGTCCCAATTTGTACAATATAGGAACGTTATATGTATTAGAAGTAATAATTTGTCGAAACTTTATGTAAAACTCGGTGATCGTTGATATTATAAAATCAGTTAATTATATTAAAGAGTTCATATCATATATAAATTTGAATCAAAGTAAATATAAGTTTATAAATGAAATTTGTACATCTATATCATATATTTATATAATAAATAAACTATGATGTATATATATACTTATAATTAAATAATACATTTTTCATTTCTATAAAAGGAAAAAAATAAGAAATAAATGGAAGCATACGTAAATTTCTTTAGACTACATTTCAATATACACAGTGAAATTCTATAACATTACGTAACATGAATTATACATTTTCAGTAGTTCATGTTATGTAATACTATAAAATTTCAATACTAGCAGCGTATATCGGAACGTTTAGAAGATAATTCCACAACCTCTGCCTGCACTGACTATACTAATGTTTCTATAGGAACACTACACAATGTGTGAAAGAGACTGTCAACGTCAATCACATATCGGCTAAAGTTTTGAATATTCGCTCCAGTGTCGAGTGTGTCCACATTTTCGTTAGTCAAGTTGGTCACAATGTTTTTAGAAATAACCTTGCACAACTTCAGACTTTGGACTTTAGACTATTTAAAAGATTGTTATCGGACAATATTTAGTGTCAATAATTAGAAGAATTAAACAAAAAGAATAGTTGTTTAAATAAATAATACTAGTTTTTTTCATTGTGCAAAAATGGCGCGTGTGCTTGTAGGTGTAAAAAGAGTAATTGATTATGCAGTGAAGGTAATGTAATATAATCTCTATATTAAGGAAAAAATTATAACATTATGAAGTCAAAAGTTTTTTCTAATAATACATTATCGTAAACATTACATATGTATTCTATAATAAATTAAGATTTTAAAAATAAAAAACATCATTTTACATTTTGTACGTATAATGCTTACAGATTCGTGTCAAACCGGATAAATCCGGGGTAATTACAGATGGTATTAAACATTCAATGAATCCTTTCGATGAGATAGCTGTAGAAGAAGCAGTCAGAATGAAGGAAAAGAAAATAGCTCAGGAAATAATAGCAGTTAGTTGTGGACCAATGCAATCGCAGGATACAATCAGGACTGCACTTGCTATGGGTGTGGATCGTGGAATTCATGTAGAAATATCTGGTCCTGAATATCAGACATTGCAGCCTGTTCATGTCTCAAAGATACTAGCCAAATTGGCACAAGATGAAAAAGTGGATTTGGTGATACTTGGTAAACAAGCCATAGACGATGATAACAATCAAACCGCACAAATGACTGCTGGCGTCTTGGATTGGCCGTCTGGCACTTTCTGCAGCAAGGTAAAAAGATAAAATTTATCATGTTGTAAGATTATTTTAATCTTCTTTCTTATATATCCAGATTGAAAACAATAATGGCGAATTGACTATTACACGCGAGATTGATGGTGGATTAGAAATCATCAAGATGAAAACTCCAGCAGTGCTCAGTGCCGATCTTCGTCTGAATGAACCACGATACGCGACTTTGCCAAATATTATGAAAGCCAAGAAAAAACCCATTAAGAAGATTACTCCGAAAGATCTTGGAGTAGATGTGACATCGAGAATTGAAATACTGTCTGTAGAAGACCCACCAGTTAGGCAGGCTGGTGCTATAGTACCAGACGTGGATACCTTGATAGCCAAATTAAAAGAAAGTGGCCACGTTTAGCTAAGTCAGGATAATTGTAAAAAGAACAAAAATCATCTTGTAACTTTTATATTTTGATAACTTGTTTTGTATATAGTATAATGCTTTTGTACATCATCAGAAATTGTATATGATATATATTTCAATATAAATTTGTACCGCAATGCGCGTGTGCGCTTATAGGGAAAAAAGAAATTTAAATATAATTAGGTATACATATTTAATAAAATACTGTCTATATATACACGAATTTTATACATATATACGTACATATATATGTAAGTATATACATATACATAAAAATATGTCGTGCACTTTTTTAACGTTTTACAAACGAATATTCAATCTATTTTAAAAGCGGAACAACATTAAACATATTTTTGAAATAGTATTGTACCTAAATATATACATATAAACGTTATTTTGTAAAAGGTAACATCAATAACGATATTATAAATATATCCTTGTTCTGCGCGTCAAAGTTATGATGCAGATCATTACGTTAAATTCAATGTCACATTTAATTGACACACGTTCTAAGTTTTCTAAGAAATGGTAATTAAGCTCGTATGGAACATTTTTCTATCGACAGAGACTATGAATAATATACACAAGAGCACCTTATTAATTTCTCTGTACTTCTACTTTAATATAAGCTTAACGTATTCATCAAAGAAACATTGTTAGCTATTGTTGCCAGCAATTAGTAAAAATATTTGTTTCCACCAAATACTCAATTCAGAGAAATATTTTTATTTCGTTTTCATAACTTATGTATCCATCAGATCAATAAAAAGTTACATGTTTTAAATGATAGGATACCATTTAATTTATTTACATAGTAGTTAGGTGTGGAAATGAAGAAAATGAACTTCTCGCAGTAGCTTAACTTATGTATATATTATTTTTAGTTAGAAGGAAAAGAGAAGAAAAAAGTATAAATTATGGAAGAAATCAAACCTTTAAGAGAGAAATGAGTATAATAAATCTTCTTGAGGAAAGATCTATCATCAAAATATACCTGCTGTTGATAGACATATTCAAAACGTATGTATCTGTATCAATAGTTCTGATTTAGAATGGATACTTTCCTGTTGCGAGGCCTTCATTCGAAAAGAGCGAAACAAGCGACGTGACAAACTTTCACGTTCCCTCTCAAATAACACAAGGTCTAAAAACAGATTATCACTTGTTGTCAATATATTTCCTTTAATCTTATTACTCCTATATAGAAAAAACAGGCAATTTATATTTCTGTTCCTAGCGGCAATGAATATTAAGGAGCATACTGAAACAAACTTTTTTGAAAACAAACGTTGCTCATGTTCCTTTGGTAGATACGCAGCTTATTTTATATGTCAAAGAGAGAAAATATTATGTGAGAGAAAGATACATGAATATTATAATATAATAAGAAAATAGATTATTTTAAAATATTATATATATAAATACTACCATCTTTTTAAATTCTTTGTTTAGTGCTTCATCCAAGACACGGCAAGAAAATACGTCCAATCGAGACTAGTATGTTGCTTATATATTAGATATTTACCGAATTGGTATAGCATGATACCAATAACATATTGGCTAGTATTTGTTCTATATCCATAATTAAAGAATAAACTATACCTCAATACCCGTATTAATCATAATTCGAGGAAGTGAATGTTCAATGCGTGCATGATCGACTAGCTTTTCGTATTTATCAATATTATTATATACCAATGATATATCCTGGAAAAATTTTTTTTCTTAATTCGTTGAATATTTCAGTGTCATTGACATTAGATAAAGCCCTGCATAAAAATTCATTGTATTATAACAGTCTTTTATATTTATATAGGCTTTGTAAAGTGTCTTCCTTAACAAAAACTCGTGCAATATTATTACATTAAAACCTTCCAATCGAATCTGCTATTACTGGTATGAGTGATCGGTGGGAAAGGAGGAGGATGGAGCTGCCAGCCGTTAATATCTTGACGTGCCGTCAAACATGCCAAGTAAGGTACTCTTTGAACTAATCTAGTGACTTCAGCAGCCGGGGGTATTCTACCACCGGTCAACTGTCTGGTGCAAGCAGCCAGAGAAGCGGCATGTGCTACTATCAAAATATTACCAACTGTACTCTCTATAATTTTCTTGATCAGATCATAACTGCGTTCATAATACTGCGCGGCGTTCTCTTTTGGCGGAAGTTCTTTAGCCTTCACGATCGGATCGTAATCGGTGTCCACATTAAAACCCGCCTTTGCCAACTCCTCGGAGGTCATCCAAACGGGTATACCGTTTGGATACCATGCCAACCATTCTATCAAGCCTGGTTCTACTTTAACTGGAATATCAGACTCTAATCCTTTTAAGATATGGGCGAGCGTTTGAACGCAACGTAATGACGGCGACGTGAAGGCTACGTCTATCTTAATACTAGACGATTTCATGGCTTCGCCTACCAAAGTTGCTTGCATCTCACCTACAGTCGTCAGCGGGCTATCGTTTTGGAAATCCTGGATATTCCTGGATGGTACTTCTTTGGGCATGTTCAAGTCACGACGTACGTAACAACCATTCGATTCAAAACAATACGGGATCCACGCGCCGAAGGTAAAATCCACCCTCTCGCCGTGTCGACATATGAAGATCTCCCTAGAAGGTGTTTCCGGCGCTTCCGACGCTGCCATCTATTCGAAAGCAACAGATTATAAATTTCCCCAATGATTTTCTGCAAGATATATTTTCTAGAAATAATTACCGGCTCCCCTGAAGTGGGAATTCCATCAGGAGTATCGATGGAATCGCTTGGAGACAAAACTGGTGGTCTTCTGACTTTTGGTATCTCCTCCTCTTCCGCGCTTTCATATTTATTGTCGGTGATCGGCATAGTGGCATGCAACGTCCACGAGTCCGATTCCGCAGTCCTCTTGGTATGATTCAACGGCAAATGACCCGATATACCGGTCAACCAAGAGACACCTTCCACCCAACCGTCCGTGGATGCGTTACACGCTCCTTCTGGAACGTATATGTAATCACCTACTCTCAACTCTAATTCATCGTGTTCTCGTGGCACGTGGGCGTGTGTCACTTTATGCACATGCGAATTCTGTAATCTCGAATCTCTTGAATATAATCTGAGCTCCCAATTGGCTGTTGCAGTTGGTCCTAGTTTCTCAACCATCGAGCGGAGAGGTTGAAACAAGTTGCTGGGAAACTGGTAAGCCAGCGTAAGGTGCAGAGACTTTACTTGTGGTTCGGCAGTGATACCTAAAGCAGCAATTTTATTGACGTAGCGAAGAGCAATGTTCTTCAACCATTCTGCATTCACGTCCTTGACGAAAAGGCCCATAAAGTTAGGTGATACATATGTCTCCAGCTCAATATGTTCGTGCAATCCATCCTGATGAACCACATTCTCAAGAGTGTGTATTAATTCTTTTGTGAACTCATCAGGAGCCTACGAAAAATATTTTGAAAATAACAAATTGCATATTTGAACACAGATTTTCAAAATATCCAAGACAAATAAATTACAAATAAATACAAATAAAATATCTTACATCAAAGAAGGAGACAAGAGTAATGTGCGGTATAAAGTTGTGAGCACCGTTCCATCCTAGGTCTTTACTCTCCGACCAAAACAGCTCGAGTTGTTCAGCTAACGGTCCGGTAGGGCAAGCATATAAAACATATTGCCGTTGAGTATCAGAGTCCAGAGTCGGATCTCTTACATGAGCCAACAACCAATCTGATGCTAATTGTATGCCACGGTGTCCTGTTGCAGCTAACGCCTTTTCCCTGAGAATATACAGGTGATAATTTTCATCAGCAAACGCTGAGTATAAATATAAATTATCCTAAAATTTTTCTAATAATAAATAAACGTATCAAATATGCATCTTTCAGTATCAAAACTGCCAGCAATGTTTCAGCAACAGTAGCAACTTTGGGGAACGCAAAGAAACACGTCTTGTTTAAAGGGCAAGAATAATCTGTTTCGTCCGAGCAACAACTGGGAACAAAGTTAATTCGATCAAGAATGAGTCTCGCAAGACAAGGATACCCAAAGCTACGTTTGACAGCTGTTTGTTTACAGTGAGTAGGCGACGTGTGTTTACGCGGGACAACGTGCCACGTGAGCGGCACAGTAAACACGACTTCTTATGTTCGCGGGGACTATACATACGCCCGGTGTTTCGGGAAGCCCAGCTGCAGAAGCGTTTGCAACGGCGTCAAGTGCTGCTTCGAAATTTTTGTAGGAGTTGGATTTTTCCGCGGCGGCAGCGTCGCCATGACGGCATTACTGCGTTCGTTGCCCAGGTTGGCCAATCACCACGCGACTTTATGCGGTACAAATGCAAAGGGAAGAACAATTTTTGAAATGCCCGATCATCGATCGAGGCGGGACGTTCAGTGATGAAAATGGAGTGCAATGTTATACGATATTTCGAAAATGTTCTCGAATGTAACAATTGTAACTCGTCGTGGAAAACAGTTGACGATATTTTAGTTTGTCCTGAACATTATATCAGATATCAGATAGCGATATAATCTGTTTTTGTACGCAAGATATCATAATCATATCGCGTGATCAGAGATCTTTAAAGATTTGATTCAAGTTAAATTCAATGTTAATAATTAGACGATTTTAGAAATTGAATATTAATTGAATAATTTTACCAAATAATTGTTTTATATAAAAACAATTAAATTAATTTAATTTATCGATCATGTTCTACGAAATGTTTAACAATATGAATTTATATTTACTGAGCAAGATTGACCCTTTAAAAAATTTAACGAGATAAATTCAATATTAATGAATGATGATTTCAGAGATTAAATATTAATTTATTTTAATAAATTAATTAAAAATCGATATAATTTTTGTTTAACAAAAGTTGGAATGCTATAATTTTTTTAATTGAAGTTCTACTTTCAATTTTAAATGTTTTTCTAATCCTTCAATATAAAAACATTTTTTAAATTGTTGAAGCTTTATTTTCAATTTAAAAAATTTCTCTTCTTCTTTGATATAAAAAAATATCAGGAAATCAGTAAAGCAATCGGTTAAGATTTCAGATATTCAATCTCACAACTTGTATTTCATTCCTTCTTCTCCTTCATCCTGTATTTCGCAACAACTTTAACAATAGCACACAATTGATGCGATTATTATTATCTAGAGTTAGTGTAAAAAAAAAAGAGAGAAAACGATGATACGTGGATTTTATATATTTTTGTTTTGCATTCGTTACGGCATCCTGTTACAAACACTCTTCACGCTGCAGTATTTCAATACAGAAGTAATAAAAAAGTATAGTGTATACATATATATATAATATATATATCTTTATCTATATATATATAATATTTATATATAAAATAGGTAAAGTAAAACGTAATATACACGTTATTGCTCGTCTCTCATGGGATTCTTCGCTCGCAATTCATACATCCTTTATACACGGTGATCCAGATAAATTGATTTAGACTCACGAGCACATTTATAACAAATTTTTTTTCCGCGCTCGTCTCAGAGAATTATATCTTCTATGTGATTCTCTTATCTCTCCTTCTCTCCAATTAATGACTAAATCATGAGAATTTAACCATTACAAAATTACAACATTTTAACGCAAGCATTTTCGATTAGATGAAGCAATTTCGTATTATAACCTACGGTATTAATAATTAATTAAAACAAGAGAGACTCCAATACGTCTAAAGCGTACACGTAAAACTGTGGGCGCGAAATATCCATTATAAATAAGCGAGTAGCATGAATAAAATAAAAGAACTTTTCACATTATCTTACATTATCTCTGTTTGGATAGAGAGTAACTTAAGTACTATTTTTTTCGAGAAATTTAGAATTTATCGTTAATGAATTAATAGAGAGATAAATGTGAATTAAATAATAACTATTATCAATAATTTTAGATAATGATAATATTATATTACTATTATTTAAATAAAAAAGATAATAATATAATAATATTGTATAATAATTATTTAAACTATCTCTCTTTTTTTCATTTAAAAAGATTTAATTTTTTTAACTCGACAATATATCATGTTGCAAACACTTCGTTTTGTTTTATCCACACTACTATACGTGTCTATTCGTACAATTGAGAGCTAGATTACTTTTACTAAAACAATAACAATTGTCTTCCAACTTGGAAGTTCTCAATGTTGCACGTTCTAAGATATATGACGTCGCAACAAACGTCCTATCCTGCAAGATTCATATGATTTACAAATTCATCAAGATTGCGTCGCAACTACAGATCATTCGCAATATAACCGCCGTTTACAACATTCTAAACATCATATGTGATTTATATTACATCATACAATTCTTGTGCTATATTTATCCGTGTTTATTATTTCGAATTTTCATCGCGCTATATTTGTGCTGATCCATAAGTTGCAACATAATAATAAATCATGCACTTTTCATCTTCGAAAATCAAATTAATCGCTTTCATAAAAGTTCCCGTCGATTTGAATATCGCTTATTACATTTACGACCGTCTTCGTAAAGACTCGCTTTCGATCCGAAGATAAATCGAACTTCAATAGTAGGTTTGCCGGAAATTATCATTATATTCTTCATATACTTAATATATATCGTGACAGAACCATTAAACAGTTTCCATCATATTAATTCCATCATAGTAATTAAACAATTCCTTCTATGTCTACCATCGACAGATAAAATGTTAAATAAGTTACTATGTATCAAGATATGATTTTGTCATTAAGAGTTTGATTTATGCACAACTGCTCGCGGACTCTAATCGATTATAAATAAAAATTAAACTAATAATATATGAAGATACGATACTATGAATTAGGGGCACATATTTTTTCATGTAAAAACATCAAAATGAAAATCATAATTAAGATCTATTGAATTGAAACTATGCGCGTAAGAATGGACAAATCATGATATAAAAAGACTTTATATCATGAGACTGTATCATATCTGTAAATTGGAGACTGCACATTCTCTGCTCTTAGCATCTGTGCTCCATTAGAAAGAATTGAATTATATTAGAATCTCTCTCCAACTCTATATTTTTTTAATTAGATACTTTAGAGAAAAAGAGAGAGAGAGAGAGAGAGAGAGAGAGAGAGAGAGAGAGAGTGTGTGTGTGTGTGTGATATGAGAGATTCAACTACCTCCCTCTCATTCTTTCTAAATCGATAATGATAACTTCATAAGAATGCATAATCTTATTATGTCTATGAGATAAACTAAGCGAAAAATGATATCCACGATTCGATGTACGATTAATTAGAGTGAAGTTAAAAGTCAAACTCACACACATTTCTCATGATTAGGTAATTCGCTCTTGTGAACGTGCATAAATTAATTTACATAATTTTGTAAGAATTTTCTTCAAACAATATGAGTAGGTTTAGGCTCTGTAGAATGTAAATCGTGAAATTGCAATAATACATTATTGGCATTATTATGATTTCATGATTTTTCTTAGATATCTTTCATCGCGATTCTTAGGCTAGTTTAATAGCGATGAAAATATATTGGTGTAATTCGCACACATATTTTGCGAATAGACAATGGGCTTCATATAGGTACTTGCACTAATTGACAAAATACTCGGATCTGTAATACTCTCAATAATATCGTCAACATACATATTTCGGCGAGATGATGTCGTTCGAATAAAACGGTCGCCCGATAAAAACTCGGGGGAAAGTTGTCGTCCATTATTTCATAAATGTTGTCCGCTTTATCTCGAACGTGTACTCCTTTTTACCGCGATCGCATCGCGCACCTGCGAAATGTTCGCTGTTAACGAAATGTCGCGATACAGATGATGAAATTTATCATTTCTACATAAAAATCGTAATATGCGGATGATACAGTACTTGTTCGTCAGACTGAGAAACATTTATGTGACATTTATCTGATAATAAGAAAACTTATACTCGCAGTATAATAACACGAATATTCATGTGGGAAAATATACATTCGTTCTGGAAAAATCTCTTTTATTTTTGATGCATCGAAATCTTTTTTTTTTATGAGTAAACGGAGAATGCAAATTGTTTGAAAAATTTTATCAGAATATTGTAGAAAGTTTTAGAATCGTTTGATATTTTTAGGCTAGTTCTTTCAACAATTAAAATATCTTTCTTTAACAATAATTTTCAAACATCTAGTGTAACATTGGAGAATTCCTTATATAAGAATAGATTTTAAATATATTGGATCTAAAACAAAAAAGAAATTCTATAGCATAAACTATTATTTTTACTCAAATATATTTTGGTCCATACATATACACTGTCGCTTGATTCTAATGCTTCAGGCGCAAAAGAACTGATGCATATCAACAGCATGCGCAATACGTGGGCGAAACTGATGTCCAAGTCGATAATTCAAGGATTGTAAATTAAAGAAGAACTGCTGCTCTTCACGGTCGGTTTCCTCTGCTCATTGCAAGATATGATGTCGATTTGGAGATGTATGATTTTCCGTGTTTTGCAATGATAAATAATAATTAACATTCTCTAGAATTTCAGAATATAAACTTATAAGTAACAATGCCGCGATAGTTACGAAATGAATTTACTTTCAAAATACAGAAGTTTATAGAGACATCGAAATGAAATATCGAAGAAACGTCGCGCTCGTCCGTTTCCATTTACAATGAGAAGTTATATAAAAAAAACGTGGTGTAAGAATCTAATTTAGTGTGATAATATGATTCACCATAATTTATTTTTCACCATAATAATTAAATATCGGGAGCGCGCGAACAACTCAACTGTCAATAAAAATAATTCGAAACTGCGTTACAAAAGTAAAGTGATCGTTTGATACAACCAAAAGCAAAACGCTCGAAGCGGCTATCTAAACGGGACAGGTATTGCATACGTATGCGATGTCAGTCTCATAATTGGCAGTGAGCATTCTCGGAATATGCTACCGAGGTTCGTTTATAGTGTATTCGTTGTTCAGGTCATTCGAGTATTTTAGTGCGATTCAAATTAGGCGTATTACGATAGTGAGGGTGGCGGGTCCCAACAACACCCTCACACACAGTGTGTATGCATGTGATTGAGAAGTTCTATTCCGCGGTACAAAACGATCGACGCGAATACCTGAACACGCGTATTGACCGGACTGTCCATTTGCCACGTATCTGGATACTCGCCAGATATATATGCGATTCGAGCATCTAATACTGAAGTGATGTTATGCAAATTTTGAGAGGATGTCAGATATTTCTATTATTTTACTTTTTAATAATCAATAAAAAATAATTAAGTAAACAATACTTAGACTGTATGTGTTTAGAAAGGTATCACAAATCAAATATTATGTTAAAAAAATACAGAAATCAGAATATATATTATAAAATTATTCAATTATTTCCTAAGTTTTTATTGTACTTTTTAGAGAAAACGGAATAATTCCAATCGGAACTTATTTCCAGTAATTCCATAATATGTGTTCTGAGTGAAAAAGTATAAAAATTTACAAAATAATAAGACCTAAAATAATAAGAAAAGATAAAGTCTCAGCCCTTTTTTGTTTTCTATGACTTACATGCAAACGTTTCAAAATAGTATTAACGTTTAAAGATATATCGAATAGTTACAATTGACGAGTTTATCACGCAACGAGTTCATCACGAGTTTATACTTCGAGATAAAATTTGTGATCAGCGATCTACAATCAGCATATCCTGCAAATGTATACTTTTCTAGGATAAATTCGTTATTCTTCCCATCTTTAGAAACTTCGCTCTTGCCCCATTATTAATTTAATTTCATATTCATGTTGATATTCCCTATTAACCGAAAAGTGCGTGATCATACTAGCAAATCCTGTTCTCCTAGTTTCCTTCGTATAAAAGTACACAAACATCCGTCCCCGAGAATGAGAGCACGAAGGAGGGCGAAGAATCCCACATGGCGATGAAGTCATAGTCGCTCGTAATCCGTTTGAAAACCTGGATCACTCGCTCCGATGTTATCCCGGACGTGGAAGTATCACAAGACCGGTGATATCCGCGTGGGCATGAAAATCCGTTTCCGCGATTCGCCTGACAAGTTCGCACGACGAATTTCCGCCTGTTGCGAGCGAGAAAGCAGAGGCTTAACTGCTACTTTCGTCGTCGTCGGAGACTCCGCTCGTCGGAGAATTCCTGCGTCATTCCCGATCTTTGCTCAGGTCGGAAGGCAAGTCGCTGCAGCCGGACATCGCCGCTACCGCCGTTGTCGTCGAAGTCGTCGTCGTGGGTGACCTGGAGGACATCCTGGAGGTCACCGGTAAGGACAATCCCGCGCTCATCGCGACGTTCAACGGTATTGTGATGAACGGCTGGTTCGATTGCGATGAGTTCGTCGCCGGTGCTGTACCTATAAGGAAATCGCAAGGGAAAATCAAATGAGACGCACCATCGCGAAGAGAAAAAAAAGTGCTACATTTCCTGCTCGATTCTACCTTCTTTGCGATCCAATCCGCTTTTTCCACTTTCGACCTATCTACGAACATCATGTTTTTGCAAAATCCGCTCGTTCTATTCGCGAATTTTCGTAGAATCGATAAAAGAATAATAAAAAAACTGATGATGCTATTTATATTCTGACAGACTTTCTTTAAATAGAGGAAAACTCCCTATTATGAGATAAGCACCTAATATGAGATAGCGGTGTTTCTGCTAATTAAATTAATAAACTATCTATTGATTCCATCATGAATTTATTATTTTTGGATTGAAAATTATTTAATAGAAAATTCATTATTAGATCATATCTGTAGTCATTGTAAAAATTTTAGAATTTCGATGTCTTCAAGTTTCATTGAGATGAGCCTTTAAACTTTGTTTATTATTTAATAAATAAATATTTGGCAATAAATTCTTCATGTAGTGATAGAGTAAGGTACTAATAGAAAAATACGGGATATGTTGAATTGTTTAATTATATAAGTTAGATTTGATGATTGTAAAACCATAAGGCGTGAAAATTGTAATATGAGATACCCAGGGTACTTCTAATATGAAATAATCTGTATGCCTATGTTATAGTGAAAATCGTTGCTAAAGAGTAAATGTTATTGTATAATAATAAAAAGGATAACCGGAATGAATGTTAAGAGCTTATTTCTGCGATGCTTGATTCCAACTATCTGAAGACGAATTCTGAATATAATCTATCGCATGCTCATTTTTCATGAACGCTAGCTATGTTTGTTTGCATTTTAGAAATATGAAATAAAGTTTTTTTTAATTGCAATACTGATATATTTTGCGTTTTACTATCGATTTCTCGGGGCATCTCATATTAGGAGCACAATTTTTTGACTTTGCGATTTGCTCACTTTTTACATTTCTATAATTTTCAAAAAAAATGGAATTTGAATTACATTTTATATAATGTTATCTTAAAGCTTATTAAATTTCCTTCAAAATAATCTATTATTTTTTTAAATTCTGCCCATAGACTTCTGGCATTTATCCAAAAAACTCGGTATCTCATAATAGGAGCCTTTCAGCTATAGCTTTTATATACATTAGCAATAAACACGGAAATTGAAACCTCGATGTGCAGCCATAAATAATATAAGGTTTTATCTAATAAATCATCATTGACTACAATATTGATCCAATAACAGTCAATATATTAACCTGACGTTGAATTATAAATTAGATGATAAATTGGATGATAAATCCAATATAATTAAATGATAAATTAGATCCAAGAATGGTAAATAATAATAGTTAATAATCACAAATTAGAAATAATATACTAAAAAAAATTTCTGGTTGAAAATGGACGAACAAAATTTCGGTCACCATAATTAAACATCTGACTATCTCAATTAAAATTCTAATCAATGTAATCAGATTTCAACTAGAAATTTTTCTCAGTGTAGACGGTGTTTATATACATCCAATATTCATTCAAGTCAGATATTTAAAAAGTACAGTCTTAAGATGTGACAAACAACCGAATCGTATTAACATATTAAGAGATTACTTAAGACGGTTTTAAAATAAGAATCAACTACTGAATACTAGCCTTATATTATCTTTGCGCGGAAAAATCAAATGTACATTTTTTTTTTAATATTTAATTATTTATTGTATCGCAAAATCGAAAGTACACAAAAAAGATAAAATTAATCTTTCACAAATAAGTCGGATGCTTAACAGTATTCCATGATTCGTCATTTACCGTTGCATCCATCTCTCATGCGTTTCCTCCTCCTTATTATTCCTACACCGTCTCGAACATAAACGCCGTGCGAAACGCATTATACATTAATCTTCACGATCGGCAACAACGAGCGACTTACGTTACGTAAATTTATTAGTCATAATCTCGCATCCAGATACGCAATTGTCACCCGATGTTGTCGCCGGTGATTCAGACGAGGCGGAAAATGCGCGCGAGCGATTTCCGAAGGTTCTTAGCCTCCGACGTAAAACTGATTCCTCGCGAAACAAATCCTCTGCCCGAGTGCCCTCGTCTCACGTAAGGGCATTTCGTAATGCGTTAAATGCGTACCGTGCGACATATATTGCGCAAAACAGCCCGTGACTCGCGTTCCTCCGCAACGTGGCGGAGGAAAGAAACCTACCTCCGTCTTGAGATATTTGCACCGGTTGCCCGTTTTGTCCTATGCCGAGCAAGACCCCTGGACTGGGCGAATAAATGACACTCTGAGGCACCTGGTACATAATCCCTGCAGAGAACGAAGGCACATTTCCTAGGAAATCAAAGAGGAATTGAGCGTGTGAGGGGTTGTAAAGCCACTGGCTTTATGATATTTCTCGCGAGAAAACGCACCGAGGTACGCAATTGCGAGCGTACACTTGTGACGTTAAAGTCCCGCACGCGGTTTGGACATATTTTAAATATTTTATGTACTCTGCATGCCTCCCCTCCCCCTCGATATTTTTGAGTTACGAGATAACTCCGTTTTTCTGAACGCGAAGAATAAACATCGACACGTATCCGAGAATGGCGAGATATCGAATGACGTAAAATACAGAGAGAGGCTTCGTGTATATCCCTTATTTGTATCGAAATTGTGAAATGCATCGTTCGACGTTAAAGTTAAACTTGTTTTCTTTCCCCCGATATACAGATGTATATCGTTGAGAAAAACTTAGGAATGGCGGCCGAGTCGAGGCTTCAAACCGGACCACCCAAGTGCAAATCTGCGCTCTGATTCACCTATATCTCCTATGAATTATTACATTTCATATGCGTGCCTCTTGTACAGCCATATACGATAAATTTTCAAGAGATATAAATTGAGAGCAAAAAGGAATAATTAAAGAATTACAATCACGCACAAACTAGGAGATCATTTACCGGGAGTAACGTTGGCATTTTTTTCAAGTTGATGTGCTCGAATATTCGTGAAACATGATCGAAAGTTGTTAATAATGATATTTATATTACAAATTGAAAGTAGCGTTTTTCAACGTTTTTTAATTTGCGACATAAATAACGAGTCAAATTTATTAAAATATGTACGTCATTAAGTGCACACGCAAGCTTCAGTGTTTAGTAATCTTTTATTAGATATCATCAATACGACATTCAGAAATAAAAAGTAAAGTTCTAAAGTCTTTATTTTATCATTTTAATAGTGATTTTATTAAAACAATAATATTGTTTTGATTAAAATAAAAGTAAATGTAATATAATTTAATAATTTTCACAATTTTTAAAATATCTTTATTTCACGCTTTACTCGCTCTTTTATGATACATACTTCTAATTTTCTTTCCTTCTTTTTACCTTCTCTAAAATTTTCACGGTACATCAGTATGTCGCAGCATATCAGTTGAAAAACTTTTGATATCTAAAGTAATAACTATTTCGAATCTATAAATAGCATCTAATTATATACTACTTCATGTTTGATACTCAATAGTTTACCAATCAAGACGCAAATAAAACTCTTGGAAAATACCAGGGTCATTTAATGTTGATACAAACATTCCTTATTAAGCATATTCAATGCTTGAAAATAAATAACATTATTGCAAAATACTTTAGCATAACATCCCCCTGAATTTTGTCTTATATACTCAATCACGAATCTCTATCAATATTTTTACAAAACTATTACATTAATACTCAATACGAAAAGCGTCTGTTAGCTTTCCTTATTGAGAACAACCTTATATAGATATATATTTACACGATAAAAAAAAAAAACTCTTGCATGTGTTTTCTACACATCTCACAACCGAACAAACGTGTCTAATTAAAGGCGGACTTGCGCGGTACACATCCATTCATTTGCCCGATAACGATGAGATTTCTCGCACGCGCCTTCATTATACCGCAGGGATAAATTATGCATACGTCGCCCTCTCTCATATATAGGAACATAATAAGTCATCGGGTCGGCTATCATCGAATTCGCGTGAACGGGACGGACGGGGACGACGGGAGCGACGGCCGCGGTGTCGGCCGAGTCGCGAGGAGGGAAAAACGGGAAAAAAAAAAAGAAAAAAAAAGCGCGATCGCGACGATCGGTTAAGCAGCGCGATAGAATGGCATCCACGCGACGCATTAGCATCGATATTTATGTGTACACCTGCATCCGCGCGCTCTTAGCGGTGCGACGCGAACGGAGCGGCTTTCGACCGGATCCTACTTCCCAGTTAGGCAGCACGGTTGTCGTCTAAGTTTGGTCATCGCCGTGCCGCGCGCGAC